ACACACCCGCATCCATTCGTATAGGGGTGGCAACACTAGGTAGGGTCGTTCGTATACCAGCTCCTGGCCGGGTGGTGGACCGGTAGGGTGACCACCCGACTCGGAGTCTAGAGATGTGCCGGCGCACGCGTTGTGCTCCAATTGCGCGCAACGCATGTAGTAATATAGCGAGTGTAGCGCCGAGAGTGACCACTGGTGTGTTGACCACCAGTTTTGCCCGTTTCGGCCCCGGTATACGGTTTGCGGCGGATTTGCCACTCGGTATTTGCTTACGTTGTCTATTATTTCGCCTAGGTAATATAATAAATAAATTAGGTAAACAATTATTATAGATAGTGTTATCTATTTATGTAATACCTAGTTGTTGAACACTACCCACGCAAGTGGTCAGTAGTTTCTGCTCCAACCCTTTAATGGACTGCCCGCTGGTCTTACTATCCGTACTACCGGTGCCTTCAAACGCCTCTTTACTACCGGCGACCGACGCAGTCATACCTGCCGTATGAAACGCCGGCAACGATAGGGCGCCGTTAGCGGTACGGCCGGCGACCAGATGTGCGAAGGGCTGCAAAACACCCCAATAGTCGCTATTAGCGGCGATACAGGCGTCGAGTAGAGCACCGGTAAGTATGCACTCATTGCCAGTGGCGGACAAACAGTGCAATATTAACTCCTCAAACAGGGTCTCCATAGCGCCGGCCATATAAATAGCGGCCGCTTCGTCCACAAACTGACCCACACGTACGTCGCACAGCCATCGGTGAAATTTACCCACACTGAATTGTAGGCCTGCCCTGGTTGATTTGGATTGCCTGTAAGTGTCGGGCCCACCCGACACGGCAAATATAGCCGCCGCCCGGTGTCCCGATTTGACGCACGTGTCCGCCAGTTGGGCACCGAATAGCACTCGTATAGCGCCGCAGATCTCGTGTTTTGTGCACATCCCTAGTGTATTGTAATGAGATTTGAGTATGGTTAAATTATTTATTTTTTACAATATGAAAATTAATTCACATATAAATTAATTTGGTTATTTTCAAGCTGTACATTTAAATAATATTCAATTAGTATAGTAGTTATTTATGATGTATGCTACAGTAATCGGAATACCTACAATTAAGAATATATATTATTTATTTTTAACAATGTGATTTTTAATTACTAATGTAATGAACTGTAATATTTTATTATTATTATTTTTGGGTAAAATAAACAAAGTTTTATTATTAGTGATGGTTTATTGAAGTAATCCCAATATATTTTTAAATAAATTAAAAAGTCCTCGATTCATTTGATTAATACAAATTAACTACTTATTTAACTCCCGAAATCAAATCAAGCTAATACTAGTAAACTAAACTTATATTTTATAAAAATTTAAAAATAAATTACTTATAATTATATACTTGTACTTATAATAAATCTGATAACATTTTTATATTAATTTAAAATAATTTAAAATTAATTTAATCTATTTTAAAAGTATATTGCATTATAAAAATTAAATTATAATAAAATATAAGTTATATTTAATAATTTTAAGCAATAACATATTTTCATATGTAAATATAATAAACTATCATGATGATTTGGAAAGCCATGAACTTTAATTTAATAGGAATTCTTATTATAAAAACAGACTTTTTGAAATTGTACAGCTTGTAATCATGCTAACAAAAAAATTAACCAAATAACCACTTCAACACAAAATGAATATGGTTAAAAATAGCAACAAACAAAACTCACCTAGAGCCTTAGCAAACCGTTGTGCTTCGCACGCAATCCTAACCAATGGGCGTTGCAATAAATAGGACAGTCGGGGCACACACTCCATACTGATCCAGGACAGTTGGTGTCTGAGCCGGCCCTCCTGGACCAATCGCAACACGTCGTGACCATCCCATGGTATGTGCTGGAGCTCAACCAATCGCGACTGCGTGTCCACCCATACAAAGTCATCGCCGGCAGCGCTCGTCATATTCGTGCCAATAGTTTCCAGTGACGAGTGCCGTATCAGACGGGGCCTAACGTACGGCTCGTACTCACTGCCCGTTGAGTAGGTGTTGTTGGATGAGTAGGTGCTGGTCGAGTGGCCCCCACCTCCACCTGTTGTATGCAAAATATTGTGATTAATAGCTAGATTACAACAATTAATTAAACAATGTTGGTGAATTAATTTATTACCATGTGTCCGGAGCGATATCTGCTCGATGGCAGCCCTAACCCTATCGAGTCCGCCCAAGTACTCGCCACCGGCGCCTCTACCGGTAAATATACTATCATTGGTGGCTACGGCCAACTCCCGTTTGCGGGCCCGGACGCCATTTTTTTTGCCACTGGTAGCGGGAGTTGAGTGTCTACTCGCCATCAGCTGGTGATATGTGTCGCCAGCCATCAGGTACTGGTGCTCACCGGCAACAGGTGTTTGGCCACTAATAGGCAAGTGATTGACCATGGGTGACGAGGCGCTCAGGTAGCTGGATCGGTTGCTAGTGTTATCGGACATGCTAGCGTGGCCAGATGACCGATTCTCATCGCTCGATGAGCCGCCATAACAGCCCTGACGTACTCGACCCCCACCGCCACCACCGCCAGCACCGGTAGGGCCGCCAACAAAACAACCGGCGCTAACCGCCCGACTGAGCACATGCGCCGATTGCTGGTGAAAGCCGTACTGCTCGTCCGTATTGGGTGGAGAGTGACCACACGTCCCACCGGTTTGTTGTTGTGACGGCGGCTGCGGCTGTGGTGTCGAAAAGCACAGTATATTCCGGCGCCGGGACTTGATTTTGGACAACACTTTCTTCTTGTTGTGCGACAGCCTATCGGTGCCATCGCTTGAGGACTTGGATAGTGAGCCGCACTCTGTGGTGGCCGGGGAGGCAGTGTTCACACTACTAGACCCAAGCTTTGAAACGGTTACCAGTGGTCGGGGCCGTCGGCACCGGTCGTCGTCGATGTCGTACTGATCGACACCGTCCAGGAGGTAGACGTCCGGCTCATTAGCGGCGGCTGTGAGCCAGTGGTGGGGCTCCGGGTCGTTGTCATCCCCCTCCTCCTCCCCGTCCACCACATCGTATATGCGCTGGTCGTCCAGCGCTGACGTCGATTTGGACGGGTAGTGAAACCCCGGGGGCCGGGGGTTATAGGACTGGTGTTGTTTAGCCGGTGTAGTGGTTGGTGTGATGTTGTGTGTAGTTGTTTGTCGCGATTTGGATACTGGTGATTGGCCATCGTGGTGAATAGTGATGGGCAATTCATGGCCAGCACTGGCCGTTTGGCACCCCTGCCCTGTCCTACGGTTGGTCACTATGGGTGGTGTTTCACGTATGGGTTTAATGGACTTCTGGGGCGTTTGACTCCTAACCGAACCTTAAGATTGATTTGTAATTATATATAATTTTAAGTTTAAAGAAATTAAGTTTACATATTTTATATAACCATATACACTAGTAATTGTAGTAATTGATTATAATTAGTCCAAATTACTGCCTAATTTAATATTAATCAGTCAAAACTAAATCAATCAATAGTAATTATTTAAAAATAAATGATCATCCGGTCTATAGCTGGCCAGAAATCATTATTAAATATAATACATTTATATATATACGAGACAATATCTACAAATTTACAGTTGATAAGAAATCAAGTTTACAAACAATTATATTTATCTAGAATCAATATGCGTTGTAAACTATTGTAATATTTATTAAGCAACCTAAAACTATTTTTAAAATAAATAACAATTTGATTAAAACTATTTAAAAATTAATTATAATAATAATTAAATAAACATCAATTCGAGTGCGTTATACTGAATGGCATTCATGTATAGCTCGACCACTGAGTCCGTGTCCACGCAGTCACAGCACCGGCGGCTACAGTACCGCAACAGACCGTCCAATTGGAAGTACGAGGCGGCGGACATTAACTATAGGGTGGTTTAAATATAAATTATTAAAATTAATTTTTTATGGTCAGTAAAATATTTACTATTTTGTAGAATATTCTGTGTTTTATGATAACAAAATATTGTGTAATTAAAAAGTGAAACATACCTCCAATATATCGTTTTGGTCCACATCTGTGTCCGTTTCAAACCCTCCGTTGTATAGGAATTGCATTACTTTCTATATACGGGAAAAATAATAATATTATTAGTTATAATTTATTATTTATAAAGTTAATTGTTTTCTGTTATTTTTGTTTTTATATAAAATGTTGATAAAAATGTCAAAAATATGTACAAAAAAATTATAATTTATAAAGTACAAAATGAATAGCTGGTTATTAACCATAAAACATATTAACCAATTTTCTTAATTATTTATCAAAGTATGTATATTTTTGTGTACAGTCTAATAATTTGTTAACAAGTAAGCTTATCTAATTAGTGATTATTACCATTGAAAAAGTTTACAAATTTACTTATATTATTTACGTAATTAATTAAATATTGTTAAATAAATTAAATACAATTTATTTTTAATAAAATAGACCCTAAAGAGATAATTACCTGAAATATATCAAAACGTATATCGTTAATAACAATCGCCGAATGCGTGGGGCTATTGTGCACAGACTGTTGGGACCCGGCATTCACACCACCGGTCAGTCCATCGACACCACCCGGTGCTGACCCACACAAGGATAGCATATTATGAAAACGTTTGCTGGCGTTGACCAGGATGATTTTGTGTGCGTAAAATAGCATATTTTCCACTTTGAACACACAATCAGACATATCCTTATTATTAACGTATTTGGCGTCAATACGGGCGCCGACCCTAACGTCCGGCCCATAACTGGCGCTTAGCGGACGGCTCCGGAATGTCTCGTTACGGCCGTAACACGTGCTCATTATATCGGCCAATAATAAGGTTGTGGTGTTAGAGTTATGCTATAAGATTAATATCATGGTAAAACAAAATGTTAATATTTTTTTCACAATACAGTCAAACTCGAATATACTGAACCTTTTGGTGTCTGAAGATTGTGAACAATAGGGGCAGACACTCGTCGACGAATTGTACGGTACAGTCGTCAGACCAGAGGTGAGAAAAGTCTTGTAATAATTGATCGGTAATGGCGTCTAAACGCATGCCGTGTGCTGTGCCTACTGTTGCCATCCATGTGTGCATTGTCCATGGGATGCCTATGAACATGGTAAATTTTTATAAATTATTTATTAATAATTGTTGTATTTTGTTGTTGACACAAATAAAATAAACAATAAATAACTAAATAAAATTTTGTGATTATTAATTACTAATAAAACATTTTACTAACAAATTTTTCTATAAATTATCTTGATTATATTTAATTTATGTAAAATAAACATAATTAATTATTTATAACAGCAAAATCTATAGGGAATCTTTGCTAATCCATTAAATAAATAAACTAATTTATCCTATTATATATTAATTACATTGTAATTTATTTTACAGTCTACGCTAAATTAAAAGCACACTCAACAATATATCAATAAAATAAATGTAAATAATTACATTATAATTAATTACTAAGTTAATACATGCTAATACTCTTACCAATATTTCTCAAATCCAGAGTAATCTCCAAACAGCCGGTCTCTGCCGAGTGATACATAGTTTCTTGAAGTGCCCTGAGTTTAGACTTGGTCAATTGGATCACTTTACTACCACCAGCGCTACCATTACTACCGTTACTACTATTACCCTCAGGAGAACCTCCCGACACGGGTGCAGAACAGGCTTTTAAATCCATATTAACGCTGCACTGGCTTTGATTGGCTGCCACTACTTGTATGCGCGGTCGGCGCCGGGTGTCCACACTTCCGGTGCGAGTCTTGGCCAACATCTTCTCTAATGACAGCACATCCCGATCTCCAGAGCCGTTGCCGTTGTTATGGCAACCGTAGGTGGGCTGAGCCAGAAGGGCTCGTAGTGCCAGTTGCTGTCCGTGCATTGCGGCCACAGCTATGGCTGACGGACAGCCCCGGGAGGCGGAACAGTGGGCGCCCGAGTAGTCCATGAGTGCGGTGTTGAGGTAGGGATCGGCGCCGTATGACAGTAATAGTCGAATGATGTCCACTCGGCCGGAGCTGGCGGCCAGTTGTAGGGGTGTTTGTGTGGCCCTTTCCTCGCCGTATCGATAGCCGCCTATGTGTTAAATATTATAAATTAGTAATTAACACACTGTATATTTTATAAATTATTCTCTCTCTTACTCTCTCTCTCTATCTCTCTCTCTCGCTCTCGCTCTCGCATTTACACAGACATACTGTACATACCTTCCACATTAGCACCGCTTTCAAGCAAGATGGTCACTATATCAAAATGACCATGGGCGGTCGCGTAGCACAGGGCAGTCCAATACTGGCACTCAGCCATCACATGTCCATTACTGGCAAACCGGTCCCTATTCTTATGCGTCGGCGGCGCCGGTGTCTCGGCGTTCACATTACAGCCGTTCCCATCGCACAGTAGGCACCGGACAAGTCTCCCATCGCCGGCCACACAGGCGTGCATTAGTGCCGTCAGACCGGCCTCGTTGGCCGTATTTAGCCCACTATTCACCGGCAGTAACTGCAACGCTGTGGTCAGTATATCGCCCCTCCCGGAGCTCAACATACGGAAGGCCAGGTCTACTTTGAGCCGTCGGGCGCACTCGGATGCGTCCAAGTCTTTGCGCCAATACAGCCACTCTTCGCCGCCGCCGCCGGCGCTGGAGGCGTAGTGCAGGGGACGAGTGGGACAATCGATGCCGGGCAGTAGTAGTCGTGCCGCCTGTAACACATCATCCCTGTCGATGGCCGGGCACCGGCGGTAGTGGGCGTGTGCGGCACACACCCGCATCCATTCGTATAGGGGTGTTTTGCAGCCCTTCGCACATCTGGTCGCCGGCCGTACCGCTAACGGCGCCCTATCG